TGCCTTCTGGCCTGGTATTTCGTGCCTGGCAGTTACTGTATGCGGTTATGGCTTTTAAATTAAGATCCTTCAAATTTATGATCCTTTAAATTAAGTTAGGTTCCTTTCTCTAACATATTTAACAGATTTGGGTATTTTTATGTTGAAGTTTATTTTTCTGCATTATGTTCATTTCTTTTTGCAGGACTGGAGAGAGACAAATTTGATAACAAGACCGTTTCGTTTGAGGAGCATATAAAGTCAGAACACAACATGTGGCATTATTTGTACTTTATAGTTCTTGTCAAAGTTAAAGATCCAACTGAATACACTGGCCCGGAGAGCTACGTGGCGCAAATGATTGTGGTAAGTCAATTTGGGCATGTGCTTTATGCAACTGGGAGATGCTCCTTGCAGCTAGAGCAGAGAATATCTTTCTTTTGCCCTCTCTCTGAACAATAGGAGGCATCGATCTGTATTTTTAAAGATCTTTTCACGTGTCTTAGACAGTCTGCAACAAAGCCCACTCTTAAACATAATGAAAAAGACGAAGGCAGAGGCCACAGTCTCTGTTTTGGCGTTCGTGCTCTCATGCTTTGTGGGTTCTGCTGCCTCATTAGCCAAACCAGGGGCAGAAGAGCATGCATCATAACATCTGCTGCTGCTCCGGCTTTGTCCAGTATCTCTGGGCTGCTGTCCAGCAAAATAACATCTCCCGCTGAACACTGAAACGCAGGGTCAGTGTTGAGGGCTGGTGCTTTTCTCCTATGACTGCTCTGAACAAGCTTTTGAAAAGACCAAGAAGAGCTGCTGCAGGGATTTGAAGAGCTACAGAAACTGCCTGGTGAAGCAGTGAGAGTGTGACTTGGGTTCAGAGTGGGAAATTTGATGATGCTGGGGCAGAGAAGTTCGATGACATTTCATTTCCAGCCTGCTACCAAAGAGGGTTCGTTCTGGTGAGGGAAAGGGATGGGTCATGAAGGCTGCCTGGCTTGGGACTTCATTTTTGAGGAATCCTTCCTACCTGCTGGGATATTCTGGTGCAGCATTTTCTTCCCATGGACTTGCTGGCAGGTATTGCACTGCTCAGGGACTGTGGTTGCAGAGCTGGCATATATCTGAATCCCAGAGGAGAGTGTAACCAAATGCGCATCAGGCTTTGCTGTTTATGCGTTTCTGGAGCCACGTTTCTTATTGAGAGTATCTGCTCTGTTATCCCTCATCGGGCCTTTGATTATACATACTACCCAGCCTCACTCGTGAGATGCTGAGTGCCCTTTTAGTCCTCAGTTTAGCCAAGGGGAAGATTCTTCTCCTTTAACTTCAGCTGTCTTCAAGTCAGGCGCCTGGTTTAAATCGATCCCAGCTCCCTGCCTTGTCAGTGCAGAAAGCTGGGTTATTTATCCTGCCTTAAGACTGGTGTCTAGGATAGCTGGGGTGACTCACCCTGATGTCGCCTTTCTCACTCTGTTGAGAGCCTAAATGATTAGTTTAGACAAGATGCCTAATTGGGAGCTCACTAAAATTAGAGGAGATGACTCCCAACCACCGCACAGGCTTACACGGAGCTCACCTTGAAGACTTGCATTAGTGGAACGGCTCGTGTTTAGACAGGAGTGCATGCTTGAATGCTGCAATGAAATGGAGCTTTCGTAAGCGCCATTACCGCTACACGGGAAGGTGGTGTGGCAGGTGATGGGAATTCAGTGCTTTGATATGGAGGAACGGCCTATGTCCATGGGAATTTTGAACCGCCATTCTCATTGCCCAGCTCACAGCGTTTATAGCGTTAGGCAGTAATGGATCTACACTTCTGCAGTATGATGGGTGAGATAGATAGAAAAACTGTAACAAAAGCTTGTATCCTCTGTTCCATTACAACAAATTATTCATAGTGGCAAGTTGTCCTCTTAAAAATATTTTAGCTTATCTCAGAAATGCACTTAAATTCGTGGAATCAATAATGTCTCCAGACTCGTTTGTCAACTCCTTCTCTCTACTACTCTTCCTCTCCCTGCAATGTTTGTAATGATATTAAACTTTGTGAGTATGTATGTTAAGTATTAATGTTTAATTCCAAGGGATGCATTAATATTCATACTAGGTGTATTCATCCTGTGGCAGCAGTGGTTTGACTTTTCTGATGTAATTCACTAATGCGTTTTACGTTTGCATTAATGGTGGAACTCCAGTTTGAATATCTAAAATATTAACAGAAAAGCACCAAAACACATGTGACCTCAAGCACTGAACTGATTTCTCAAAGCCCCTGTTTCTCTGTGGCGGAATGCTGGTGGTTTAAGTGGTTAATAGTAATGAAGATTATGGGATTATTAAGACCTCCTTCGGAGAGCTTGGTTTTTCCATGGGTGCATATAGTTAATGACTGTTCTGGATGACGGGAGAGGTACTTGTGGACCTTGAAGTGTAAAGCTCAAATGGAATGGAATGGAAGAGGGAATGGAGGAGTGGGGAACAAAAAGAGAAACAAATGTTTGAACAAACTACAAGTGGCCAGTGTGGGATTAGTAATTGTATCTTTGTGTAATTTAAATTCCCCAGTACAAAATCTAGGGAAGGTGTGCTGCAGAAATACTAGTGCTGCATAGAAGAAGCAATTGGAGCTGCTTAAGTGAACAAAAAAGGACTCTTTCTCTTGGAGCCAGAGAGATTACTGTATACCAGACAGTACAAGGAATATTAAGAAATGAAAGAAAATAATCTGACTGAAAGAGTGGAGTAATCTGGAAGTATGATATTCAACTGGAAGAAGAGACTTAGAGATACAGCCTTGTTTATGACCAAAGAAGAGTCAAAAGGAAAACACTCAGAGGTAGTTTTGCAGCTGTCAGCTATATGAGTTGATGTAGTGAACGTGTTTGGTGTGTTTCAAGCACAGCTTGATAGTAATGGAACTACATGCAAAGCATGTGAGATGTACTACATTCCATGCAGAAATTAAGCCTGAGGTATGGTTTTTGTCCTGAAGATAGAGAGAGAAGCTGACTCAGAGTTTGTGACAGACTGAAAGCTGAGCGACCATTCTTGTGATGCTGGGAGAGGTGACCAACCCCCTGGTAAGAGACCAAGTTCTGATTAGGATCTGGCACAAGAGAGGCAGACTTCAAATTAACCTTTTGCAAGGGAACTGAGGCTTGCCAGTGGGACTGACTCATTGCTGAATGAGGCTCACTAGGGGTGCATGGGAATGTGACAAGTATTTACTAAAATAGGGTGGCTGGAAGAACAGGGCAGCCTCAGGACCGTTTTGAAGGGGACAAAGTGGCATGAGATTTTATATTTCAGGTGTTGCGGAATATGGCTGAAAAAACTCCATGAATCATACTCCTGGAAAAGCTTTCTTAGCTCTGCTAGTTTTTATTATGATTAGGAATGCCTTTTATGACTGCTTCTGTAGCTTTAATGGATAAAACCCAAATTCTGTGTTTTCACAGCCGGATTACTTAAAGAGAATTTCTACCCAAATACGATCTTCAAGGCTCAAATCCATCCTTAAATACACGTAGGTCAAAATTTTGGAGTATACTGCAGTAACTTCTTTAATAGAAAGTAGAGTTTAGCTACAAGTATCATCCTCACTACCCCTACAACTGTAGTTAGGAGCCAATTATTATTTGTACTTGTCTACTACTGTCTTGCAAACTATTGCAAAAAGTAACATTGACGTGGTTATCAGTGTTAACTCAGCACCAGGGGAAACGTCTATAATTTCTGATAGTCTCTTTTCTCCATTTTCCAGACCCATCAGGACCCAAAAATATGACTGTCTGTATTGTGACTCAGTCTTTTTTATGTATCATTTAACCAGCAAGCAGTGAAGCATCTGTTTTGAAGGTTTGCTGTTAGCATAACTGGAAAAAAACGGGAATACTGTGGTTTTCTTGTTTTGGAATACTATTTGAAAGGCTGGATTCCAAAAGAGATGGGAATTATTTACACATCTTAACTTCACTTTCCCAGTTTTCCAGTTCAGGAGGCAGAAAAAAATTTGTAGGTGATGTTGTACACGCCCCTCACTCAAAGGTAATATTTTTGCAGGTTTCCAAGTTCACTGATATTTCTGTTCCAGCGGTGGCTTGTTTCAAAGCATTCCTGTTATCTTGCACATCTCTGGCCCCAAAAGACCTTGGGGCAGAGGTCTTATTTTGCTTTCTTCCTCTGGACTGTGGACATCGGCTGCAAACTCCTGAAGTTCCCTGGGATTTTGATTTTCCCAGCAGCTCTGTATTTGCTTCAGTTCTTAGCATACTGCTTTGAGCAGTGACAGAAGTAATCAGTAGCTATCCAGCTTTCATAAAGTGAGGTATTATTCTTTCTTTTTTTTCTCTTTTTAGAAAAAAAGCATCAAGCATAAAATGTATTGTAAAGCAAGACACAGTTTATACACCTCTAGCTTTTCAGACAGTTACTTTATGGAGATGTTGGTGGGAATAAAGCACTTCAGATCTTCCAGTGATGCCCATTCTTCTTGCACACTATCTTCTATCAGTTATCATGTGAAATATTAATGAATATTAAATCCGGGCAGTAGGTTTTATTATTTGTTTGTTATCCAGGCCTCTTTTATGAAGTCAGACAGGTATTATACAATACCCAAAAAGACAGAAACTTTGAAAAGCTGGCTACATGCCTTGCATTTGCACTGAGGACCTGCATGAATGATTCCCCTATTGAATTTTCATTCCTGTAGAAAAAAAACTTCTTATCTGACCTATTTGACCAGAAATACCATTCCTAGAAAAAATCTCTCTGATGCACATAACTTGTATTACATCAATACAGCAATCTTTGAATGTTCCTTGTGCCCATTTGTCAGAGGAGACAGTTAAATGCAATAACTGGAACAGTGAAGGTTAACATCCAAATTTTTAGACTTCTCTTTTCAGAGGTGCAATCTGTACACGCAGATTTCAGCCCAGCTTTGGTAGCTGCAAATAGATAAATGGAGGCAAAAAATATAGATGATTAGTTACTGAATTTTTTGCAGCAAAACGGGGAGATATGAATTAGCCTATGATTTGTGCCTCCATTCATTTGCAAAAATAAAAGGCTATTGGCATAGTAATTAAATGAATTATTTTGCCCATGGGAAGAATGAATGACGGACTCTAGCAAACGAAGCCCTAAAAGTTTTGTTCTCGCGTGCCCTGTCCACAGTTCTTAGCAAGTTTCATAATGGATTTTATCAGCATTAGTGCTACCTGTCATAACTACATAATTACAGCACCTAATTATATTATTACTTATTTACTCTAATTATGTAATTGGATGTAATTGGTGCAATTACATAACTCCTCAGTCAGCTGAAAACTGCTCTAAAACCAGCCTACGTTTGCAAGTGTAAA